TGGGGGGGGGGAGACACGGCCGTGGGGGAGGGTTGTGCAAGATAGTCCTCGACTTACGACCACAGCCTGGGCGGGTGGGGGGCTCAAACATTCATGTCCCTGAATGAGACGGCCGCTAAGCGAGGTTTTGCCCCGTTTTAGGATAATTTCCAACTGCCGCCGTTGTTAAGCAAATCGCTGCAAAATGTGAGACAGGGTTGTTAAGTCACAACATTCATTTTTCTCCTGCCATGTATATATATATGGATGGATCTGAAGTAGTCTGTGTAATTTCTCTGCCTCTCATAATATAGTATGATAGAATATAATGGAATGCATATTTTTTGTATTTATGTTTTTGTCATGTTTATGTTGTGTATATTGGAGGTGGAGATGATCCTTTGAGAGCAGGACGCAACGGAATTTAACTTTGACGTATTCCGATTGCTGTACCTTCAAAGTGAACAGTTTGCCCTTGGAAGTTGTGGGAGCTTCATCCCTTCAGGCTTTCAAGAAGAGACTTGGACTGCCATCTGTCAGAAATGGTGTAGGGTCTCCTGCTTGGGCGGGTGGGTGGGTTAGACTAGATGACCTCCGAGGTCCCTTTCAACTCTTTCATTCTGTATTCAATGGAACAGAAGTTGCCTTCGGAATTTGTGGGAGCTTCATCCCTGGAGGCTTTCAAGAAGAGACTGGACTGCCATCTGTCAGAAATGGTGTAGGGTCTCCTGCTTGGGCAGGGGGTTGGACTAGATGACCTCCAAGGTCCCTTCCAACTCTGATTATCTGTTATTTGTTTTCTGACAAAGTTAATTCTAAGTCTTAAGTCTAAGTGAATCTGGTTCCCTCCATGGATTTTGCTTGTCAAGGTCGCGAAAGGGGATCTTGTGACCCCTGGGACACTGCGACCGTCGTAAATCTGAACCAGTTGCCCAGCGTTCTGAATTTGGATCACATGACCACGGGGATGCTGTATGGTTGCAAGTGTGAAAAATGGCCATCAGTCACTTTTTTTCCCAGTGCCGCTGTTGTAACGGTCACTAAATGAATTGTAAGTCGAGGACTACCTGTATTTTGTGTCTTTGTGGGTTCTCTGTACCCCACACTCCGCAGAGGCATCCCGCCATCAAAGGACTAAATGATGGTTTAGCCGTGGGCAGAGTAACGTGGGAATCTGGTTTCCCTGCCTTGGGGAAGGACTGGATCCCGTGGCTTTACTTCTGAGTTTGTGTCAGAAGCATCACAATTAAAATAAGGCATACTATAAAACAAAATTGATAATACAAGATTAAAATATGTACAAATTAAACAAATCTTGACCAGAAACTAGTAATATTGACTGATTAACTTAATTTACATTAAGTGATTAATTTACTTCTGAGTAAATGGACCTCTGTGGGCAGAAGGCCTTGTGGCTGCGTCCCTCGAAGCTTTCGCCAGCCACCAGTTTCCCCCAAACTGGGTAGCTTGGATATCTGAGTAAACATGTGTACAAAGTCTTTGATTTACAACCATTCATTTAATGACTGTTCCAAGTCAGAATGGCACTGGGAAAAAAAGGTGATTTATGACCGTTTTGCACACTGATGACTATTGGAGCATCCCCATCCACGTGATCAAAATTCAGACACTTGGCAATTGGCTTGTATTTATGACGATTACAATGTCTGGCAGTCATGCGATCCCCCCTTTGCGACCTTCTGACCAGCGACATCAGGGGGGGAGCCAGATTCACTGAACAACTGTGTTACTAGCAACTGTAGTGGTTCACTTAACAACTGTGGCGAGGAAGCCGTAAAATGTGACAAAACTCACTTCACACCTGTCCTGTTTAGCGATGGAAATTTTGGGCTGAACTGTTGTCTTAAGTCGAGGACTACCTGTATAAGAAAGCTAGAAGAAAGAGAGTAGAATCAAATCATTCTAAGCCAAAAAAAAATGAAGCAAAAATAAAAGAAGTAACAAATGCTTCTGCGTAGCTGAGAGATGCAGAAGAAGGAGCAACTGACATTTGACAACTGTCTTGCTTAGCAACATAAATATTGCGCTCAAATGAGGTCACAAATCGAGGACCACCTGTATTCAGGAACCTGGGATCTGGGCTCCGAGTTCAGGGTAGCATTTCTACTCGTAGGGCAGAAGGAGCAGCCACAGGAGAGAGGCTGTCCTCAAATGACAGGCAGGAGTTTGTTGATGCAGCTTTTGAATATTTACACTCCTGTGCTGAAGAGGAGCTGCGTCCGCAGGTATTTTGTGCCGAAGGAAAAAACAAAAACAAAAAAAAGCAAAGCGCCTCGCAGCATGGAGTTCGGGGCCAGGGGAGGCTTTGATGGTTTTGTAAAATAATAGGGCTGCAAAAGGCTGTGAAGCCCAGTTGGGTCGGCAGGCGTTCCCCCAGGGACCATCCCTCTGGCACCGATGAGGAGGTTGTTTTTTGTGTTGTTTTTTTAACGTCATCGAAATCACTGGGCTTGACCACACATGTAAACAGCAAGGGAAGCAAAGGAAGAAGCAGTTGGCCAGCTGGCTGGAGGAACCTTGAAGTCTAAAAGTTGACCAAAGGGAAAAAAGGGCGTGGAGAGAAATCAAGATACAACCAAACCAGATATGAAGCTGAGCAGATGCACTTAGTCATAATTGCTAAGGGCTAGTTTGATGTAGTGGTTAAGGCACCAGGCTAGAAACTAGCAGGCAGTGAGTTCAAATCCCGCCTTAAGTGGGAAAGCCGGCCAGGTGACTTTGGGCCAATTATCAGAAGATGGTGAGTTCTAACTCTGCCTTAGGCGGGAAAGCCAGCTAGATAACTTTGGAACAATCAACAGTAGACTGAGTTCTAGTCCATCTAAAGCACGAAAGCTGGCTGGGTGACCTTGGGCCAATCACCAGGAGACGGGGAGTTCGAGTCCCATCTTAGGCAGGAAAACTGGCTGGGTGAAAACTTAGGAAAACTTAGGAAAACTTAGGCAGGAAAACCTTGGGCCGGTCACTCTCTCAGCCAAACCCACCTCACAGGGGTGTTGTTGTGGAAAAAATAAGAGGAAGGAGGGTTGTTAGGTAAGTTAACTGCCTGGAGTTGTAATAATAAATGTGAAATACAAATAAAAGCTAAGGGTTTGATTGATTGGCTGGGCTGTTAAGATTTTCAAGCTTTTTTTTTACTTTGTCGATTGCAGCGATGCCCATAGCTCAAGTCATTAAAATGATGCATGCTGTGAATGAGTACCATATGTGCTATTTTAAAGATGAAGAGCAAAACCTTTTTCTAATTTTGTAACTGCAGAAACCAGGAGGGAATAGCTTGCTAGCTTTATGCCAGCCTTGGCCTCCTCCTCCTCCCTGGTTTCGGGATTAGAAGACAAGCTGGGGGATTGGAAAGATGTTTCCCCTTCCTCTTTTGCGCCTTGGCGAGGCAGGAAGTAGTAATGGGTGGGAGGAAGTCCTGTTCTGCTGCTTGATTATACTCTCTGGGCTTCAAACATCAGCTAAAGCAGGGGTGGGCTAACTATGGCCCCTTTACGACCTGTGGACTTCAACTCCCAGAATTCCTGGCTCTGTTGCCCACCCTGATCTAAAGCCTACGCATAGTCTGCCTTTCTTTCTCGGGGGTGGGCACTGCTAAAATGAAAATATTGGACACCACCAGATAAGGAGACTATGAGCCTTTTTCCTGAGCATTATATTCAGAAAAAAAATGTATATTTGAAGATGGAGACATAATTGCTGATAAAAATTGCAGACTCCTAATAGCCCTTGAATTAAAGTGGAATACATATACATATATATATATATATATATATAATCAAATGCACTTCAAATATAATGGTAGAACTAAATAGAATCTTTTATGTATTGAAAGAAAATAAAGTTCTCTCAGGCAAATGGTGAAGGGCTTGAATATTCTTACCATTGGCGTATTCTGTTCTGTGGTTTGACTGTGTCAGTACAGGAAGTCCTTGACTTATAGCCATTCATTTCCTGACTCTTCAGAATTTCAGTGGCACTGAAAAAAGAGACAACCATTTTTCCCACTTATGACCATCACATCATCCCTATAATCATGTGATCAAAATTTGGACGCTTGGCAACTGGCTCGTGTTTATGACGGTTTCAGTGTCCCATGTTCAGTGGGTCATGTGATCCCCTGTTTGTGATCTGGCAAGCAAAGTCAACGGGGAAGCCAGATTCAGTTAACAGCCGTGTTACTAACTTAACAACTGCAGTGATTCACTTAATAAAGGTGTCAAGAAAAGTCGTAAAATGACACAGAATTCACTGTCTGGCTTAGCACCGGAAATTTTGGGCTCGTTTATGGTTGTAAATCAAGGATTGTAAGTCTCAATGTCATAATATGTTTACAAAGTAGAGCTGAAATAATGCAGATGACTGAATATTAATAGGTGTGTCCAAACTACAACAAATTATCCAAATAGACTGTACTGGTTGAGCAGAAGAAATAAAGGCTGTTTTGCATCAAAAGAGGAAGGAATATAATGTTAGAAATTATTAGCATGAAGCATTGTCAGATAGATGCCATTTTGTATACGGCTACAGATCTTTGAAATGTATAAAAATAACGAGCAGGGAAACGGTATACTTTTATGGCCTTAAAGCGTCAGTAAGAAAAATATCCAGTGATGAGTCTCCCGATGTGATATAGGGAGGCTGATGTTTGCTGAGAGATTTGCAGACTGACTTCCTTTATATTAGCCAGAGGTTGTGAATGTTGGTGAGGGCAGGATAAGCAAAAGTGTGTGTG